AGTGAATGGCAGCTAGTCATCCCATTCTCTGAAACATTTCTCTGGATATCTAAAACTCATCTTTGCTTCCTAGGGGTACTTTAGTCTCTGTATTTATTACGCATCAGTGTAGGGGCAAGGGTGACGTGGACCCTAAGGCACAGAGCTGAGAGCCCAGAGGTCGCAAGTTTAAGGCCACAGCAGAAGTGCTCCTAGCGCACTGTCAGATTCCAGTGAATCTGCAAATTCTGCTCAATACCTTGTCAGAAGGACAAGAAGGAAGGATAAGCCAGTGATGACAAGGTACATTATTGAGTTTATGTTTCTATGTACTTTAAAATGTACATTTCCCTTTTGCACTCTGTGGGACCGATGGTATTGCAAAGCATACTGTGGTACCTCAGACTCCAGGGTGGGCTGGAAACCGCTACTGTAATCCAGTCTTGTTATCTCATCCTACAGAAGAAAAAGAAAAGACAAGCACATAACTCTCCTAGAGCACACAGCAGGCAAGTCAGCAGTGCTCACAATGCAAGCATGGAGTTTTAAAAGGAAATTTTAAAATCACAGTTTCAGCAGCAGTGTTTTATTTGCCCAGTTTTAGCCATGCAAAGTCAGACTCATTTAAAAGACTGCAAGTATTTACAGAGCAAGGAGATCAGTCCTTGCATCCAGGTGTGCTGCAGAGTAACATGATAAAAGCAGTCAAACAGGAGTTCTCAAGTCTTAGAGAAAACAAGAGTTTTCTTGGTTTTTTTAAAAATTCATTTTGCTAAGGATGATGGAGACTGACAAGAATTCAGACTAACGAGTCACAATAGCCTCAGTTCCAGTCTCTGAAATGCCCGCATCACTTTGGTGTTAAGAATCTGAGGAAGTAAGTAAAAGGAAGAGGCCTCTTGCTGCATGACTGCATGGCATTCAGGGATGCCCTACACCTTTGGTAAAAGCAGCTTCCTCCGAGAGAAGCACCTGGGTACATTTTAGGAAAATTCTCGCCTGAAACAGATGCCTTAGCAGCTACACAATGCCGAGTGGAAAACTGCCTTGAGTGAAAGGGATGCCAAATCAGTAAAAGTAGACTCTCGTGCTCAAGTGTAAGACTGCAAACTGCTAGGTCAGCCCAATAAACAGGCAGCACTTTGGCAGGCTGCTTGGGCTCTGGTTAAGGAGCCAGCACTCTCAGCCAGATCTGTAGTTTTCAATGACTTTTCCCACCTCCACCAGGTTCGCTGGAGCCAGCACACAATGCATTTAAAACAAACATACTGTGTGAGATCCTTCTTCTGCATCAGTGGGAGGATCTTGGAGCTGCACACTGGAACTCAATGGAAGTCCCTTCCGTTCCCACAGCCTCTGGTCACCGCCACTGACCTTCTTCCTGAAACTGCCGTCTGAAAGCAAGTAATGCAGTGAACACAAGCACGATGGGGACAAGCACAGCTTGGGGGGTGGGAATTACCAACTACTTGTAATGGTTTGTTTTAAGTCCCTTAAAACAAGTGCAGAGAAGCAGGCAGTCACAAGAACTAGGTTTGTCAGATTTCCAGTAAGAACCTGAAGAATGTGGACTAGGACACACAGCAAGGATGACCACTGATTCATGCCCCTTTGCACATCCATGGCTATCAGGGCTGCTAAAACACCTGTAGTATTTGCTGCTACTAGAACCCTATTTGAACCCACTGCTGGTCTGCGCGGAGGCAGTGAAGGAGGAGATGCAAACCAGCTCTTGTTCGGAGCGTGTGCGTGTTACTTTCATCCATGCTACTTTTCACGGGCAGGTGAAACTGCCCCTGCACATGAGACTGGGCTGATATAGACCATGTTACTTTTTCCCAGGAAGCTCAGATAAAGCAGAACTGGACGAAGATGGGTGGTATCTGGCATTTCCATTCATGCCACTGTCTTTCTGATGACAGCATCTGTGCCCAGTGACAGCTGAAGTCAGCGATTCTTAACCAGAGTGCTGCAGCACCCTGGGTGCCTTGAGATGGACACTTCCAAGGTTGCCACGGGGTGCCACAACATGGTAGTGCTGTTAGGTGTGCAAATATGGTTCACAAGATAAACTCAGCGATTCCAAACACAATATCAAAGGATGTTATAAATTAATCTGACCCGCTGTGGTATTTCCAAGGTCTTTGCAACATAAGATTCACTCTATTTTTCTGTAGTCAGAAAACAAGTGAAAACTAAGAGCCAGCATTTTCTGAGGGGTAGGGGGAAAGGCTTTTGTCTAAAAAGGTTGAGAAGCACTGGTTTAAATGACTGCATCCATTTTGCAGCCTTGCAAGGTCTGCACAGAGCTGCTGGAAGCATCAGAGGTTATTTGACAACCAGAAATAAACTTGGGTTTAAACTCCCCAGCTCAACTTTCCTTTTTATCAGATGGAATTAACTTGCGTGCTCTGCAGTTATTAGAAATGATATTTGGTTGGTACGAAGTCACCATGTGCATAGTTCAAAGACGACAAATCAGTAACAAGGTGTTCTGCCCTCAACCGCTAATCCTGGCAGACAGAGGATCTGGCAGCCTGACACTCCTCTTTTTGCAGGTGTATCTGCTAGTCAGGATGAGCTTTGTGGGGCCCTGTTCTATGACAGTCTGTATCACAGCCTGCTTTGATTCACTCTCCTCATCCAGAAATGTGCTTCAGAATAGGACAGTAAAGTGACAAGAACGTCAGTGCACTCCCTCTGACCCGCTCAGGGCCCCCCAAATCCTAATCTTACTTTTGTTTGGAACAGAGGGGCTGCTATCATATCCCCCAAAGGTCTCCGCTCTCCTGGGGAGCCCAGTCCCACAGCTATCGTCAGGATGACAGGCTGCATTGCCAAAGTAAGTGACGATCAGGTTCTGGAGGTTCTCAGCTAGGGAAGCAAAGAACAGGTCATTTTAAACAACCATACCCATGCTATGGGGAAGCTGCATCATGCTAATAAAGTATACAAACAACCATTCAAGCATTTCACACATACATTAGAGGTTCAGAAGCTCTTAGACCATTTTGGCAGCATGCCACAAACTCCAAACCTGAAAGTCACGTGTGAAAACAATACCTCATCCTCACATGGGGATTCAGGTTGCTAGGCCAGTCTGGGTAGGCTTGTGGAAAGCTAAATTAATTGCCCTCGCAGATCAGCTACCAATAAGGGTGACACTGTCTGTGCTCAGTGTCTTTGCTCATGCTGGCAGCCTAGTCTTAAGCTGGAACTCTTTATGTGGCATCAAGGTGCAAAGCTGACATGATATCAAGGTACTTGGAAACAGCCCATCTAAATAAACTCAAGGTCAGGTTCTACAATTTGATTTTTCTTACATTGGCAATATTCCATCCAGCAGAGAACAATTAAACAAATCCGCCCTTCACTTATCTCACAAGCTGGTTCTGAGAATTAGGTATGCAAAACTGTTCCACAGCGCTTAATTAGGATTTGCTGCTGTGTATACACGTGTGCACACACACGCATGCATGCACACTCATCTTTTGCACCTACCTTCTGTCACTGCGGATTTTAGGATCACTTCTCCTTGCAGATTCTCCGAGCTATCCATGCCCTTCAGGAAGAGTCTGGATCGGACCCCTGGAGAAAGCTCTTCAAACCCATTCATTTCAAACATTTCTAGATAAATCTGTTGTTTTTCAATTAGTCTTTGCATAATCAGATCATCTTTCATGCTCAGACGTTCTGATAAAACACAAACAGATTTAAACCTTGCAATACTGCCTGGCAAGTCAGTCCCAGGAACACAATGTTCATGTCAAATTATCCTAATAATTTATTATGTACTTATTCTATGTTTGATGCTTTATCATCATTAATGGCTAGAAAAAAAAAAAAAAAAAAAACTTACAGGGCAGGAGAAAGGCACAGATTTTTTTGCTTCTCAATGGAAGTGGGAGGTTTTCTTTTCTTTTAAATAATTTGTTTACTTGCAGAAATACCGCAATTGACTTGCAATCCTGCATCAAGGGGTGCTTGAATTACCGCAGGGTGGGAACATGCTGGCAGTTATGGGGGCCACAAGAGAGCCAGCGCTACAAGAAACTTCTCCCTGGGCCAGGGCATAAATAGTTACCTTGAAATTCTTTTAATTTAGCTGCTCGTGCTTCCGCCAGTCTCCTTTCTTCTTCAGTGTCATTCAGCGTTCCTTCCTCTTCATAAGGGCAGCTAGAAGCAGCCAAGGAGGGGAATCTGTTGGATCTCCATACAGGGAACTTACATCATCACCTTGGGCCACATCCCACAGGCCTTCCCAGGGAGCACCCTATCCTGCCCCATTTGCTTCCCTTACCCAGCACACCCTTGTTTTTGGCAGGCAGTGCCCATCACCCTGAGAATGGCTGAATCTTCCAAGCAAGTCTTACTGACAGGCACAGTGCCTGTTCTTCCCACATCTCTTGTAAGCTGCCCTTACAGGTAACCATGTGCCAAGCTAAGTGCTTCGCTCTCAGCAAGGATGTGAAATACAAACAGCAAGAAGGGAAAGTCAAGAACTAGTCAAATCTACCTGGCTCCCACAAGAACATACCCTGGTATGACCAGCAGTTTCCTTGGCCCCTGCCTGTATTGAAATTCAGCCGCTATAGCCATGCTGACCAGCCACACGCTCGCAGCTCTGCCGGCAGATGGCAGCGGCTCCTGGGACAGCTTCTGTTGTTCCGAGGAACTGAGCCCCAGCTGCCGGCAGAGCTGTGTCCAGGCCAGGATGTCCAGACAAACGGAAAGCAGCCCCCACCCATGGCCCCTGCAATGTAGGCCCAGCCTTGGTGAGGATGTGATATGGACCCTGAAGGACAGAGCTAGTCAAACTTATCTTTACCACAAAGGCAGAATGGCCAGTAATGTCGAGGGATCAAACACGTGAGCAGAAACCAAACCCCCTGCCTTTTGGCCCAGTTTACCTTTCCACAGCTCTGCGAATGTGAGCCATCCAGGAATTTCTTTCTTCTTTGGAGCTGGTATGAATTTCATACATTTCTGGCCCTTTCATTGAGGCGCTAATTAAGAACATGGCTTTCTCCTCATTAGCTACCTCTCTGACAATCAACTTCTGCAATGAAACAACTGGTGGCTTAGAGTCCTGCAAGACAAGATTGGGTGCATTACACTTCACTGCAGTACTAGCTCGGGCAGCATCTTTAGGTTCTGGGCGCTCTTCGCGTGCGAGACCAATGAAGACAGACTGCAGCCAAGCTTGGTTGCTCTGGCCCTTTTATATCGTAAGACTGATGTGCACGTCATTTTTCTCATCTGCTACATGCCAAGTCCCTGTCTGAAAAAAAAAATCTACATTCTAAAAACAAGATCTAACCCTTCGATTCAGCACAACCCTTAGACACGTGTGTACCTGGGAGCCAGTGGAACTTGGGGGTGTTCAAGTTACACACGTGCTCCAAAGCATGGCTTACTCAGGGCCCAGAGGGATACGTTTCTTCCCCGTATTCCTTCCCCACTTAGCTGTTCCATTTCTGAGAAAGCAGCACTTCCAAGGCTTCTGAATGACTAACGCTGAAATAAATTACTCTGTCTATTCAGAGCGAAAGCAGCCACCAGCTACTTGAAAGGCATAAAATCTTTCCCCACAATATCTGTTTCTACTTTTTCCTGGAATTTCATGAATTTCAGCTCTTGTCCTTACTGAAGGGGCAACATGAACCAGTTTGGACTTCGCTCCATTTGGCAACAGCAAGATCAGAACAAGTAAAAAGCACAAGATCTAACAATTCACAAAATAAAAAAACCCCACGAGAGAGGAAGCAATGTTGATGCCAAAGTGGCAGGTTAGTTACAAAACAAGAGAGAAACGCCTAGCTTTGAGGATGGGGATGTTGCCCCCCTTTGGTTTTGGGAAACTGGAGCTATGTCTGGTAGAGCTACAATTCTGTATGACAAGGGATTCAACTGCTCATTTCTGTAAGATAAATAATATAGAGTGAGGTTAACAATGAGTAGCATCCCTGCCTACATTTACTACTGCAGCCTGACACGCACGTAGGTGAGAAACGAGTCATTTTGCAGGCTATTAATATTACATTTTGCAGGATGGGAGCTAAAGGGTTTGACACCAAGAAAAGTAACTTGTCAGCTACATGTGAGGACTCTCAGCTGGCTCAAGTCAGAAGCCAGGTCACCAAGCCAACGCAAGATTACAGGATGTATCCACTCACTCTCCACCCCCTTGTTAGTTTACCTAGGAGAGATTAACACTTAGCTCATTTAAAAACAGAGCTCATGAATGTGAGGATGTTGAGAACAGCTCAGGCCAGGGCTACACATGGCATTCTGCAGGGAGGCGCCTCTACCAGGGACTGGGATAGCAGCAAGTTGTTGGATGCATATTTGTAGTTTTACAGCAGGTTTGGCAGCTGGCTTACTAAAGTGGCATAAGAAAGACAGTCAAGACCCCTATAAGAGAGGGGCTGCAAACCATGCACAGGGGCAGAAAAGGAAACTCAGAAGGTTCCTAAGTGAGCGTGTCCCAAGTGCTCCAGCTCCTGCTAGTTTTGCAGGTATATTTGGTACTTAGTTTCATAGTTTGTAGGGTCGGAAGGGACCTGAGCAGGTCATCGAGTCTGACCCCCTGCCATGGCAGAAAGGA